AATATAAGATAAACATATACTTAAAAGTAATTAGTTATATGGTCGGATGGATGCAGAGATTCAACGGTGGAGATAAGGAGTTGGGGAAGTACAAGAGCGATGCTGAATCGTTCATTTGTGCACTCATGCCTGGGAGTGGCTCTCAACAAATCCAAACTACTCCTGGTACGTGTGAACATGTGATTTTTTTTTTTTACCAAAGACGAACAAAGTAAATTATTTTTTACTGGGTATATATGTTGTTCATCAGGAGGGCTAATGTACACAAGGGACAGTTCAAATCTACAGTACGTGACAAGCTCAAGCATGCTTCTCTTCATCTACTCCAAGAACTTGGTTGTGTCCCGCGTCAATGGCGTTCATTGTAGCTCCAAGTATTTCTCCGCATCTCAAATACGTGCATTTGCCAAATCTCAGGTATATGATAATCGATTCGAATTTAAGATCTCCAAATTATAACATCATCATTTCTTTTACATGGCTAAACAAATAATTTAAACATTCTAATTCTTTTGCCTTTTCTTTTTTACAAGGTGGACTATATACTAGGGAAAAATCCGATGAAGATGTCATACATGGTTGGGTACGGAAGCAAGTTCCCACAACAGCTGCACCATCGAGGCTCGTCCCTTCCCTCGATCAAATCCCACAAGCCCAAGATCAGCTGCAACGATGGCTACGACCACTACTACTCCTCGAGCCAGCCCAACCCAAATGTCCACGTGGGGGCCCTGGTGGGTGGGCCGGACTCATCTGACAATTACCCTGATCAGCGATCCGACTATTCGCATGCCGAGCCCACGACTTATATCAATGCTGGCTTTATCGGCTCGGTGGCTGCTTTACTCTGATTGCATTTACATGCACATGTATATTAGTGACTAGTGAGGATTAATCTCTTAGTCCGTTTCCATTAACGTACGTGTGTGTAAATATAAAAAAGAACACACCAGTGTAAAAGTTTAGGCAGTCCTCCTTAATTTGTAACCTGAAATAGTAGGAGGATGGAAGGGTACGTACTACAATGGTTATAATACTCAACCAGCCCTGGTAGGAGTTGTAACATGGACAAACCATTATGCATATTATCTCCATATCAACTTATATCTCCTTTATTACAAACTGCTAGATATAAATATTTTTGTTTCTTTTATTATTAGAGCATATATATAGTCAACAATGGGATCCGAACCTAGAATTTGAAGGTTGAAAATATAGGCAGTCTCGCTAAATCAAATCCTTCTTTATAGAGACTCATTTCTACTACGAAGATTAAGTAATACTTGTAATTTTGGACTCGTTATATTAATTTGATTGAAAAATATGGAACATCGGAAATGATAATTCATATTGATTTCTATAACATAAGATAGTTGTGATTCAAAACATGATTTATGAGTTGTGATTAGTGATCACTTACCTATAACATACAAATATAGCATGAGTGGAATTTCCTTCTCCCAAATAAATGCTTTAAGCATGAGGTGTGAATATAATTGGCTACTCTTTATTATAGAAAGTCACGTTCACGAGATTTTTTCAATCAATAAATACCCAGGTCTAGAAAAGGAAAGACAGAGTTAGGGAAATAGTTGTTTTTATGAGAAATTGGAGGAAACCAAAAAGTCCTTCCGAACACAAATTTAAATGAAAATAGAATTCCATAGAGGCACTATAAAAAAGACAGTCATTAGTGACCAGAGGTTTCCGTACGCAAAGCCGTAATTCAATCACAAATGTGCTTTTGCAATGTCATGTTGTCGTCGCCGTTTCAAATACAAGCGTCACACATAATTTTTGTGTGGGGAGCCATTGTAAAGACTATTTGTGACGACTCAGAGTTGTCTCTACAATTAATATGGTCGTGACTAATGTACTTCAAAATTGATGAACTTGAAAACTTTTGTTTGTAACGGCAAAGAACCATCGCAATAATTAATAAACTCGTCGCCTAGTCGATAATAGTTTCATATTGATGAACCTGACGATGATGTCATTCTTGTGACAAATTGTTTGTGATTATCATTGATTTTCTCAATTGTGATGAGATCATTCTCAATCTACAATTAAAATTTTGAGGCTAGTAATTACTTTGATTTTCTCAAATTTTATTGGCATAGATAACCCATATGTAACCAATTGTCCACTAACAAATTGGAACCCCAAATAAACAAATAGTAGAAGAAAATATTAAATAAATCCATCTATATTGTTGTTCATGTACAATATATGCTATTATTGTTTCAAATAATATATTACATACAATATATGTGCTCATGTAAAAAGAAACAAACACAACAGGAGAAGAAACACTATTGTTGCTACATCTCCGGCGACTCCCCGATCATTCTTGCAGTCGCCGTCGAATCCGATTTCCGCTACTAACCACCACCAGTTGCTAATGACCTTGAACGACTTTCATCAATCCTCATTTCCGGCTATTCCAAAAGGAAGATAATTAAATATCAATATCTTAAACATATATTGATGTAATAGTGTTTGCTATACTAAATTGATTATCATCGTCCCCGTCACTTAAGAAATATACGACGATGTGTCAAGAACTCCACCTACTGCTGGCTATGTCTTCATCTCGTTATTCAAATGACTAATATTTAATGAATGTATATGGTGAAATGTATCACACATATTCTCGATCTATCCTCGATAAAAGTCCTTCCTTTTACTGGCCAAACAAGGTTCGAAGTTAAGACACATATCTTGGGTTGCTGAAAATACGTGAGTTCTTCCCCATTTCATTCGAGTTGTAAAAGTGACAATTTTGAGGGTTTATGGAGGTACGTTTGATGAATTCAACTTGAGGAAAGATAGTCTCCTTGAAGCCTTTTGGTTGTTCATCAGTCTCCTCCCATTCACAACAAAGAGACATTAATCTTCACATCTATTTGCCGAAACATCAAAGTTGATTAAGATTTGTTGCTAGTCCCAATACAGTAAAATAATGGATGTCGATCTTTGATTTTTAGTAGTGAGAGGAGGATAATAATATATGAAATGTAAAGGGAAAACATGAAATATGAGCAATTTAGTCACTTTATCAATGCAAAGTGAGCAAATATTTGTTGACATTCCTATGATAGTTGTTTGTAATGTCTATAGATACATAAAACATAGTGTTAACAGTAAATGCTAGGTCTGGAATCGAGTAGATGGTCTCAGGTTTCCAGGTCTTAGAGTTAAGGAGACTACCCTTGCTAGTCACTGTTGAGTTTTTTTTTTTTTTTTTGGAGAAAACTGTTGAGCTAGGATGCCTAGAAATTCATCTCAACTTTGAAATACTATGTATTTTTTTTATTACATTTGATCAGTTTTCTAATGAATCTCTCATAGTTCCACTCAACTTTTAACTTTGATGGGCTCTACCCAGTGGCGGAGCCACGTTATAGCCAGGACGGGCTATAGCACCCCTCCCCCTCAACTTTTAAAATTGCGAAAATTTACGTCTACATATTCTGTAATGAATTTGAAAAATAGAATATGTAGTATGGCTTTAGCCCCTCCCAGTTCAAACCTTTGAACGTGAATTTTTAGCCCTCTCTAATTCAGATTTCTGACTTCGTCACTGGCTCTACCCATTTTGGGTTCTCTTCATACGAACCCTTTGATTCATATTTCTGTCATATGAACCGAACCAACTTGTTATCCCAAACAATACTATACTAGCTAGATCTGGAACAAATCAAAAACTATAAATTTGGTTTCCAAAGTATATAAAATATCTTGGAACCGCATTACATATGCCATTTACATTAATAACGTACAAGTGTGCTCCCATTACAGAGACAAAGTCAAGTGAGTCCTGAAATGGGCATTTAATTTCGTTGCTTGAAGCAAAGGGACTTTGCCGGGAATTGAATTTGGAGGCAAAATGTTAGGTTTCGATGATATTATTATTTGTATAAACTAATTAATCAAGTAGGTGTAGGGGGCTCATCCTTTTCCTCCATTATTAAAAAATATTGCACCATCGGTCACTGTCCCTTTTCCCCACAGTTAGGCGGTGTGGAGCTTGGAACGGGCTGGCTGGATCTCTCTTCACACCTTGATTTTATTTATTATTACACCATATTTATTCCCCAACAAATCGTTAATTTATATTGTAGAAATGCGCAACTTGGCTTTGAATAATCTACGCCTCGTAACCAGTTGATCCATTATTATCATCATTACTCAAAAACAGGAGATCCCGTCATCCCCCATGTGTTAACAGCACTCAAACGACGACATTCTACCTCTTTTACAAGAAATTGTCGCGTAAAAAAGTATACATAATTTCCATTACATTTATTTTTTTTATATCCATACACAATAAATACAACATGTGAATCTTGTCGAAGAATAATTTATTGTTTCCGTATTTTCACTGAAAACTGGTGAGTTTTTCCGGGAATGTGCATCTCATTTCCTTTTAATCTCGCTATAATATTTAATTAGTCCAAAAGTAAGGACTTAAACTAGTTTAGATACTTAAGATCAATCTAACTAGTTACGAACTTATGATCACTATGCTATGACACTCTTGACTTCTTCCAAAGCTTGTTTCATCTCTATTAATGTTTCTTTAGATCTAAAACATTTAATCAAGTCGATTTTTTATAACAAATGAGACAGTTTGTTGGAATTCCCAAAATGATTATGTTGATTATACACAATCCCCGTACATAGATTTTCCCCCAGTTTAGCAAACATTGTGGTAAGGAATTTGGGCGGTTTAGATTTTGTGGATGCAAGTTTTTTTAGTTACTAGAATGAATTCATTCTTTACATGAAATAAGAATCTTACCTAATAAAATAGGGTTTTTTTCGTTGAATAGGTTTTGTTTTTCAGTTTCGACTTTCGAGCTAGTAAATGTTATATGTACTAATGTTTTATTATAACATAAAGTACTAATGTGCTGCACATATGAAAATTTCAAATCACCAAGTTTACTCCAAATCCCAATTTTGTAATATTGTATGGTTAGAAACAATATTACAACAACGCTAATTCATATATAGATCTACATTAACTCTTTACTCCTGAAAACTACATACAACATATGGCCTAACTTATATGTGTGGGCATGCATCTTGGCACACTTAATTGGAATGGGGATCTTCAACTATACAAAGCCTTGAAATTATGACAGACAGCAAAAATGGATTAATTAATTAATGAGATACAAACAAAGAAAAGTAACGGTTTTCGTTAATTACCATGGATTCAGAAACATCCCGTCTACATCCAAACCCTCACCGCCGGGATACAATGCGTCGCTAAAACTTAAATCGCCGGATCCCACGAATTCATCGTTGCTGCTACTCTGATACACATCTGGGAAGAACACTCCACCTTCATCTTCCTCCTTCACCATCATCAGCTCGTCTTCAGCTACGGAAGGAGAGTAGTGCTCGTCGCCTTTGACAGAGGCCGTGGCAGAAGCTCCCTCACCATTAGCGACGACGGAGATGGAATTCTTCACCCGGGTGCTGCCGGCGAGTGAGTTCCTGCGCGTGGGATGCGCGTGGCTGTGCTCCGACGTGTATGTTATGATGAAGATCGAAGGGTCGGCGGTGCTTCTCTCCACTTGTTTCCTCGCCGGGCAGCCTTTCAAGCTGCTGCACCTGTAGTAACTCCTGTAACCATTGCAAAAAAAGGAAAGCATAAGCAAAACCGTTGCAAACGCGTAATGTTTTTGGTCGCAAAAAAAGGGTTTGATTCTTGTAATCTTTTAATGGTGAACTTTCTGTTAATATACCTAGGGTAAGGCGATCCTTTGATGGGTTTCTGCCCGTATTTACGCCAAGCCCATTTGTCCGACGATATCCCTTCTTCCCTCACTTGTTGAACAACTCTCTTCTGCTGATTCCTCCTGTGTTAATTAAGCACAAAATCCCACTTTAAGAAAATGAAGAAAACTTAAAAAACGGTGCTAAGCATTCATTGAATTGAATAAACGAATAAGTAAAAGAAGACGATTGACTGTTAGCATGTGCTTTAAGATTTATTACTGAACCTATTCAAATAATTCAAGATCGTGGGATCAATTGATTATTTTCATGATATTAGAACCTGTTGTGTTCGAATTCCAAAAATTCCATTGTTAGCCACATGATGCTTGATGTCCGAGTAAATTTCAACTCCATATTAATAAAAGCTTTCGGTATTTCTTCCATCAAACTACTCGAATTACTGAAATCTGACTAGTTATTAACATGGATAAAGTAACCAGAAAACGAGCTAGGAAGAAACCTTTTCCGCAATTTGGCTGCGGAGCTACTTTGAGCGGCCGTAGTAGAAGAAGAAGAAGCAGACGACAGATCCGAAACTACAGCTGGAAGCTTTGCCGACGGCTGTTCTGGTCTGCAGATGGCTGCGGCGGCGGAGGCTGGTGGAGGAGGAGCAACCATGGCGGCGTTGGTGGTGGCGAGGATACTCAACGGTTGGTTACAAAAAGGCTGGTAAAGGCCTTCCAGCAACCCATCCAAATCGGTATAATCATCATCAATAATCACTTGTTCCATCGAAGAAGAAGAAGAAGCAAAAAGAAATGGTTCGTCGTGGAAGCTGTCGAAGTCGAAATTGAAGGAAGAAGGCTGAATCTGATCTGCTGCGGCGGGGGCGTTTATTATATGGCTGCAGCTGCTGCCGCCTCTGACCACGGCGTCTAGATCCCAATCCGCCATGAATGCAAACTCGCCCATAGCAAGGGAAAGAGATTAAGATTTTTGTTTGATTCTACTGTTTGTGATGCGCTGACTTAGTAAAAGAGGGGAAAGGCCAATGGGGAAAGGCTGTGGGAGTTGTGGGGATTTATATATAGGAGAGGGGATCAAAGGCTGCGGCGGGGAGATGGTTTGAAAGTCAGATCCTTCCCCATTTGTACGTGAGGTTAAGGGGTCGTTTTTTGGCTGGTTTCGGATTATTTTGCCCCCCTTTCATTTATTTTTTCTTTATAGTTGTTGTTAATGACTTTGGGAAAAAGTCAAAGGCTATAAATTATTTGACCAATAATTTGGATTGTGTTTGATTTATAATTAATTTATCATGGAACAGCTAAGCTATGGACGCTACTGTTTCCTTGAGAGAACTAATATCTCTTACACACATACACACTTGTTTGTCGACCGTGTGGACTCTAACAATGGTTGTCGTCTGGTTCTCAAGTCACTTTCGGTTTTTTATTTCAAGTTTTCAATATGTTCTCTTTTTTTTTATATATATAGTTAATTAATAACTTAGAGTCCACTTCCTCTTTTTTTACATATAGTTATTTCAAGTCACTTTCGGTTTTTTATTTCAAGTTTTCAATATAGTTAATTAATATATCCTTCTGTACACTGTATTTAGAGTTCACCAAGAAAAAAGTCATGCCCTACGAAATACAACAATTAAGCGCCACCCGAGGCCGAGAGGTGAGGTTTGGTACACATTAAACTCAAAGAGTTGGTGTATCTAATGAAAAAGAATTGTACCAAACCAAATAACCTTCTAGCTCTATTATGCAATGATGGGTGTGTAATTGGTTGCAATACCAATGCAAACGAAAAACATGAATTTCTCTAAGCAAGACAACTTGTGGTTAATATTAATAATAAGCTTCATAGAAAAGATTGCTAAGGTAACTAGAGGTGAAATATTTTTCTAGTTCAGAAACTCTAAGTCTAAGTTGGTAATAATCATCATTATCAAAAAAAAAAAAGTTGGTAATAATCATACATTATATTGATTAGATTGACATTGTAGCTCAGGTTGAGAAAAAACTTACAAGTTAAACTAAACAACACCATATATCATCTATACAAAGGCTATAAATCATGATCATGCATAATATATTAATATTCAATAATAACATATTTATTAATTACAAATCAGAAAAACAACTTGCACTATAAACCATATATATATATCGGAGAAACATTACAAATCATACCCGCAAATGTGACTACAAACAGCAAGCATCCCAATGTTTATTCATGTTAAATATGGAATCTTTACTATAATCATCAAACTAACCGACATTACAAATTATATTGAGAAACATTGTATGTCATACAAGAGCTTGATCAGTAGCTTCTCGTTTAATAGTTAAAGGGTACTGTTTGACATAGTATTTTTTTATATATAAAGATTAGGATGTAAAACACCAGTATCTCATAATATCAATGTTATACGAGAAAGAAACGTCGACCGTTTTATGTAAAATTGACATTAAAGTTATTCTCTCTGAAATAGATCGAAAGGAAAACAAATTACTCCAATAACTTAATCCTCGCGAGTCAAACAATTGACTAAAATTTTCCTATCTATTCTAAAGCATCTCCGTTTTCAAAGGAGGTTACAAAAATTATAGTACAAAACTAACATGATGGTATGATTCCTCATACATCGACGCAATAATGAATTTCAAGCCTTTTTGAACAATAATTGAACGTTAGTGCTAAGAAAATATAATCCCAAAATGTGAGTTGAAGACAATACATAGGAAAGACAGTGTGGGGATGTTGGAAATATATGTAGTGTTTGACTATCGAACAACAAAGCATGAAAGCTAGCAAAGTGATGGGTTCCTCGTTTGGAGGGCATGTATGTATAACACAGATCGAGAATGGTCCCGCAATCATCCTTGCACGCCCTACATTTCTAGGGGCTTACCCTATTCCATGCAAATGGGCATAAGCTTATCAAATTGCTTAGACCCCAAAAGAAGAAACAACTCTGGGAAGAATGAAGCAGACAGCCACCACTACACTCCTCCCACTTGTGTTTGTTCCTTGTTCCATTTCTTTTAATTTGGGGCTATTTTGTGCAAGTACCCACACCTCTCTACTCCCTTGTCTTTTGGGTTAAGGCAATGACATCAAAGATCTTGATTTCTGATCCTCATCATGAGAGAGTACTGGCTTGCTAGCTAGTGGCTTTTATCCTTTATAAAGTGCCATTGGATAATGTTTAGATACAATATTGGGTAAATTGATATTTTGCATCTCATCAAAAGGGACATGCATGCAGAATTCATGGAGTTCGTTTTTTATATGAAGAATTCACGGAGTTTGCTTGTACATGCAATCATCATAGGCGGAAAATGGAATTATTAGGGCCACATAACATAATAAAATTTAACCATGACAAAAGTGACAAAGGGAACTGTAGCTGTAATTTATAATAAGTAATCAAATTAGGATTCAGAGCAGCACCCTTTGCTTACTGCTTAATTATCTGTATAAAAAAAACCCTACAGAAGCCACGTTGCCCTTATGAGCTCTTACTTTCCATTTTTCTCAGCTTTTCCCCTTAATTAAACAACATCCATAGTCAAAGATAAAGAAATCGGGATGGAAGAGGAGGGCAGTCGGTGGCAAACAAACAACTTGCAAGGAAATCAATCAAGCCCACTTCTACCTTTTCGCTCATATACAATTAATTAATTAATTATTAGTTAACCATTCTCCATTTTTATATATCCATCTCGGAACTTAATCATGCAAGTTGGGATTCCCCCATCCCATTATATTTAATAGTTTTTCTTCCAAATATATATTATCCAATGGGAGTGCACCAAAAAATCGTCATGCTCATGCACATGCAGACAAATCATGACGCTCTAGTACTTCTAATTTGTTGCCTGAAACCCAGGGAATAATATTATTAATTGCATTATCTTAATTACTCAAAAGAAAAAACTTGGAGATACCAACCAGCCGCTAGTTTGAAAGTGTCAACAACCATCTTTCAATGATCATATATATAATCTACTGTTTTGTTACGCGACATTCATCAAAGAGAAAACGCAAGGGTATTAATTAATTAACGACCTTAATTTTACTTAAATAATGCTACAAGATACATTATTGGAAAATACAAGTATCAAAATCGAATGTCAAACTGATGCAAGCTGAGGCTTTCATTTCTGGCCGCGCCTTTATAACAAACTGCATCGACCTCTTTCATATATTTTCCTTGTTTATTCCCGGAGCTTGTCCGATCTCTCGCCCACCTAGGGCTATGGCTACGGCTATATACCCCAGGTCGTGGGCAAGACAAGAGGCAGGCCAGCTGCAGACGAAGATGAGAACAAAACAAAAAGGTTCTGAGAAAATGCATAGGCGTGGTGGGAGAGTGGAACTAGCTAGCTAGTAGCTAGAGTCTATAGATTGAGATGACGGTAATCAAGGTTTGAACTAGTCGTGGGGGGGATTTTTGGTTTTGCCTTTTGTTTTCTTCCTGGGCCTGGCCCGGCCCTTCTTGTCCTAAAACTTGGGCTGGAAGGCGGAGACAAATTATATGTTCATATTAATTTAATTACGAGGCTGGGATAATTAGTCACAACCGATATTTAATCACCCACGTTATCCATTGCGGCTATTACTATATTCAGTTAATATTATTAGTACAAAAAAGAAGAAGTTAATATAGTAGTACGAGGGCTGGCGTGTAGTGAAGCGAGAAACTAAGCAACCTTATTATGTGGATTTTGATTTTTGAGGGCAAGTTGTCAATTTGCTTTTAGCCGAAAAGTTGCTATCTACACGTCGCCATACATTGCCACCCAATTCTCATCCTTGGCGGAAATTATATATCGGCTCGCTAGGTGCCGACTAACCGAGAAAACGGGGGAGCGTCTTCCTTTCCTTGACTAATGGATTTTCAGGCAAGCAGCCATGCACACGCGGTTCTAATCTTGGCTGATTGATTGACGCGTTTTTTATTTATTTATTTCCACTATTAGTCTATTACGTACACTTAAACATTTTGTTAATTTCCTCCGCTTATGTCACTCGCACTACGTCCTTCTTATGTGAGCAGGGTGCCACTGCAATCCCATAGTTAATTAACTTAATTGCTTATTATTGTAGAGTTAAATGGTCATTTCAAAATTCAAACCCTGAGCTTTGGGTTGGATTCAGTTTTTAAATCTAATTTCTAAGGTTTACCAAGTAAAATCTGATTTTTAACCTAAATAATACGTAGATAAAATTTCGACGTAAATCCCACCTTCAAATTAAACCCCACAGTTTTAAGTTTTGGACTTGATACTGTCCATTAAAAAACTGAAATTTCTAATCCATGTGATGCTGGTGTAACAGAGTAATTAGTGACTAAAACAAGAGAGAAAGTGATGTACGTAGGTAGATTACCTGACCAAGTCAGAGATAACGAAAAGTGATTATGCATGTGCACATATATATCTGCCAGTAAATTGGTTGGTCAGGCCAGCTAGTTATTACGTACAAACCTCCTAATAGAAAATGAACCGACATCTTGACTTCGTACCCTAAATACCGAAATGTCAATGTCCCGTATCCGGTGGGTAATTGTCATTTTCTCAAGAGTAACAGTAAACCGGTACTAACTAATGAATAATTAAAAATTCAAATGAACTCTTAAGATATGATAATATGAACATGGCCATTTCCTCATTTCCAGTCTGATTCTAACATGTATGCTCTCAATTTGAAAGATTGCAGGTTAGAGGTGAGCACTGAGTGGTTTTATGTAAATTTGAGTAGGTTTAAAACAATTCACTACGTGTGAATGAAGGCAAAAATGATTGACGCCCATGACCCACCCAAAGGATGTACATGTAGGTATATTGGGTTGATTGGTTGGGCGTGTTTGTTGAGTTTACAACATATATTCCAAAGGTAACAAAATTTCAATTGTTTTTTATAATGTAAAATGGAAGAAAATTTTAAAATAAATAGCATTTAATTCATAAATAAGGTGCATCATTTAATTTACAATATTGTTAAACATGGTATAAGCCTAATAATAAACCAAATAAGATGCTTAAGGCGAAATGAGGTGCTCAATTGGACGCCTGAAAATTCAAGCAAACTCAATTGAATTGGAGAGTAGAGGAGCTTTAGTTTGGGGATATGGTTTTTTAGTTCCAATGAAGAAAGACGAGGAAGGGGAGCTCGAGGAGAGGAATGGCCAAAAAGATGGGGTCGTTAGGATTTTGGTTAGGTTATCTAGTGGTATGATGTGACGCGTTAGATTTTATGATATGGCGGATAAAATAGTGTGAACCAGCACTTTTGTTATTCACGTCAGCAAAACACGGATGAATTGACGGTGTTAACGGAGGCTAACAACGGTCAATGATCAAATTGGACTACTGAACTAATTTTTAACTATTGAACTAATTTTAGAGATCACAAATTGAATAAAATATTTTTAAAGATAAACATGAAAATGTTTAGTAATCTGGTGACCAACATTGCAATTTACATTCCATTTATCATTGGGTAAGGTCTTAGTGCAAAGTTGACAAGATCCTTGAGTTGAGCTCAAGAAAGCAACACGAAGCCCACCTCAGTGAGCTTGAAGGCCCAACAAGTTCCTCTATTCAGCCATATAAAGCTTCTTCTTCCGTCATTCAAACTCTTTCCGCAAGCGCGCGCTCACGTTTCGTTCGCGAATTGAAATTTGAAAGAGTGAGAGAGCAAGAAAATGGAGGAGGAACTCGACCTCTGCAGAACATCAATGGCGTTCTTCTCCGATCAGCAGCTCTGCTACGCGGATATCCTCTCTGCTCATGAGGTAAGCCATTCACTGCTCCGTCACCATGGAATAATTCACACACTCGACGAAGCCCCCTTTCGATTCAACTTAACTACCCAGATTTTCAATTTCTCACAAGGTTCGAGCTCGGATAGAAGTCGCGGTGATCAATTTCCTGAAGGCTTTAACCTCTCCAGATCCGGCAATCTCCAACCTAGCTCTGGTACGGCTTCAAAACCTCTATTTAGAACTTCCACTTCTGTAAATTCTAGTTTAGACCAATTGAATCCTCCGACTCTAAGTCTCTTGAATCGATTTTATATAACAAAAATGAGAACAGATATCCAGGAAATCGCGTAACAGCAGAGTGAATCAGGGAATGTTAACCGACGTCTCTTCGATTTTCCTCTCCGATATGCTTAGCGTGAGGTCGTTGACAAAAGCTAATGCAGCTAAGGCGTTTGTTAGAGGTGCTGAACGAAACTGGTGTCCTTAGTTAGTGATCTGATTCGTCAAGTTTGTTCAATTACCAGAGTTATTGAGGAAACCTCCTTCTGTTGTAGTATGGAAGGTGATGGAGCTGTGCTATCAAATCCTGAGTCAGGAGAAGCGAGTCACGCAGCGGGAGCTATTTTACAAGCTGCTCTGTGAGTCGCCGGATTACTTCTCATCACAGCTGCAGGTCAATCGGACAATCCAAGGTCCTGCTACTGTGTTTCCTCTTGCGAGCAATAATATTTGACTACTATGGCTTCCATTTGAATGAATGAAACATTGTGAAGCAGATGTCGTGGCTTTGCTTAGGTGCAGCCGTTTCAGTCTTGGAATAATGGCTTCCAGCCGAGGAGTTGTTGCTGGGAGATTAGTGTTGCAGGTAGGTTCTTTTGGAATCAAATTTCACCTAGTAAGCGAATTCCCAGCTTCCTTCTCTATGAGTTCTAATTTGATGAAGGATATTTGGAACAGGAGCCAAACCAGGAAATTGTGGATTGTTCTGAATGTGGTTCCTCTGGTTATGCCATCTCTGGGGACTTGAGCTTGCTGGACAAACTGATTATAAGATCAGATGCACGATATATTATCGTGGTGGAGAAGGTAGTTTCTATTTTTGCCTCTGGGTTCTTCCATGGATAATTGAAACTTTTCCCTTGATTGGTTTCTGCAGCATGCAATTTTTCAACGATTGACCGAGGATCGCATATTCAATCACATTCCAAGCATTCTTATCACAGCCAAAGGGTACCCAGATATAGCTACGAGGTAAGTAATTCAACAGGACTTTCGCCATGTTATCAGTTGTTTGATCGCTTCAAAATTGTTCAATGGCGATGCAGATTTCTCCTTCACCGTATGAGCAGGGCTTTTCCTCAGTTGCCCATTTTCGCGCTGGTTGATTGGTATGAGTGGCTTTCATTACTATGCTGTTTGCCATTCAAGGGCATCTAGTGATTGCATGTATGGTTTCGTCTCAATCTGATTAGGAATCCAGCTGGACTAGCAATACTGTGCACGTTCAAGCATGGAAGCGTAGGAATGGGCCTGGAAGCTTATAGATATGGTGCGCTTTTATGCCGTCTGTGATCCTAGAGACCCTCCTTTTTTTTTTTGCCATAGGATCCTAGAGACCCTCCTTAACCATCATTAAAATCTAACTTGTCAGTACGTTTTTCAGCATGCAATGTGAGGTGGTTGGGAGTGCGAGTAGATGATCTACAACTCATACCTGAAGAATCACTAGTTCCATTGAAGCCACGAGATCTCCAGATAGCTAAAAGCTTGATGTCCTCAGAATTTTTGCAGGTGCTAATACTAATACCAATGTCTCGATATCCCTTGTTAGCTTTCATAGCAATGTAAAAGATCAAACGCTGATGCAGTAATACTACTCTATCTCAGGAAAAACACAAAGAGGAATTGGCACAGATGGTTGAGAGCGGGAAGAGAGCAGAAATAGAGGCACTGTTCTATCATGGCTATGATTTCCTAGGAAAGTACATCGCCAAAAAGATTGTTCAAGCTAACTACATCTAGCAGAAGAGCAATCTTTCGGGTAAGTTAACAGCAGAACTCTAGCTCCAATACCAAATTCTGAATGAATTCAAGCCATACAGTTGGCAAACCATAGCAGAATAAGTATGATTTCAATACATGATAATATAATCGTCTGGCATCTTATTCCGTACAATGCGGGACAACCTTTTCTCACTATAGTTGATCTGCAATGCAAATCTAAAGCAGAAAAAACTCATTTTTCCTCCTTTAATTTGAGTTACATTACCAAATAATGCTAATGTAGCAGTGACCAACAAAATTTCCTTTACTAACACTTGATATGACCTAGACCTTGATGCAAAACATGATTACTTCATCGACAAGATCCAGCTCCGGTATACAATCTCAATCTCCGGTAGATACAAAAATCAACCAAAACTTCTTCAGCCGCTTCTCGAAGAGAGGCTTACTCTCTTACCATCAACCGCAAACTTCCCACTACCTTCCAGCTGCAAGTATAATAGGGTAAACACTACATGTTCACATTTTTTTTGTAGGCAAAATCAAACAGCAGTATGCAAACAAAAAAACCATAAGCAGCTTAGCTAACCTTCTGCTTTAAGTGAGCAAGGGCATCTTTTTTCGAAGAGAAGTTCGAGAAAGCAGAGGACGAGTGCTCATCAACAAGAACCTTAAGCTTTTTTAGCTTCATCGATTCTCCAGGCACCTGGAGTAATAATTAACCCATCAGACAAAATCAGAAAATGTGAGCTGTGCAAGTTTAGTTTAAAAAAAATGCAGCAATCTAAAACACAATACCTGCTGTAGTAGCCGTTTACACAGCTTTTTCAGGTTAACCTTTTGCACTTCACCATCTACACCTGATAGCGTCTCATCATATTTCCTTTTCCTTGTGGAATCCAAGTCAGTAGAAATCTTATCATTAACAGTTTCCATATCTTTATCATCATCATCATCACATAGTTCCTCTGCTGTGGAGTCATATTCAGCAGAGTCCTCGCCATCATCAGCAGAATCATCATCCTCACTGCCACCAAAGGATTTCTTTTTCCCCTGAAAGCGGACACCTGCTATCTTCTTTGGCCTGCTCTTAATCCCCAGTCCTTGTTTCCCAGACGTGGCATTATCCTAGAATATCAATGGAGAACCCAGTTTAAGAAATTACCATTCAATGAAAGAGATGAACAAACTCCAAAACTTCCAAAACTGCGGGTTCCATACCTCTTGATCATTCAAATTGTAATATATAAGCATGCAAGAGAACAGAGAATTGTTAGGAAAAAAGTTGAAATAATGCATACTTGCACAAGATTGTAGAGATTCTCTTGATCTTCTTCATGGAAAGCAGTTCTCTCTTTATGATTTTGAGCATCTCCATTTTTGGATGATTTCTTCTTGGTAGAACGAGCTCCAAGAAGACCACCACAGACGAACCCAATTTTGTAGCCCCACCAGTCCGGAGGAGGCTCTACAATCTCGGCCTCTGTTAGAAAGTATAAAGAATTATTCTCCTAACAACAGTTCAATTAAATACATTGGGAATGCAAGTAACATCAGATGATTGCAGAAGGTAAATTTTGGTGTTACAAGAGGATCACCATCTTGAAAAGCAAGATCCATTAGATTATATTATATGTTGATGGCATTACCTGAAGGGTTGTAGATTTGGGAAGCTGGATCTTCTGTAGAGTCCAATTCATCAGGAATTGTTGACTCCTCAGTCTTTCTAACCTGTACCATAAATTGCAGACATATGAACCCGACAGAAACCACGCATCTCAACTATTATACTATTGTCCAAGGTGCAGAACTTACAAGAATCCCTTCCAAATCCTTCAAGGAATAGGCAGTGACAAGCTTACCTCTCTCTCTCTTCTTGTATCTGAAGGCCAACAAGAAAAACCCAAAAGCACTTGCTTTATAGCGGTCATCATTATGAAAGTCAGGTAATAGTTCCAAGCAGACAATCAAATAAACATATACACGAACCTTCCTTGTGGTCGAGTAGCTTTTGCAACCGGTTCTTGAACCTCTGTAGAAACAGCCTTATCCTCAGGTTTCTCTTCTTCGCTATCTCTCGCAATAGCTGTAATAAGAGAAAGATGCGATTTTCAAACCAACAATCCACTTTTAACTAACGAATAATACTAAAAGGTTGCCCTTGTTGCCATACCTGCATCAGTGTTCTGAACCGCTTGCTGCCAGTCAACAACAAACCAGAAATCAGTACAGCGAAGACGGGAGGAGTTACGGTGCTAATTGTACAAGAGTTAGCACTGTCCTAATCAAGGGTTAGTAGTGATTTAGCTTAGATGTTGTATTGATTTTATAATAATCCGTAGTGATTTCGTTGTTTTTAGTAGCGTTTTTTGCTAGTTATCACGGTGCTAACCCCTATAAGGGTTAGCACCTAATCCCATCCCCAGCGAAGACAGATCACGAGAGCAATGCAAAGCAGAGCCCAAGAAAATCAACAACATACCACTTTCAATCTCTTCAAGATACTATCGAATTGGGTGGTATCAAAAGCCCAAGGATTTGCCTTCTCCACTCCAACACCTAATTCCATAGAAAAACAAGTAGAACGATAGGAATCAATACGTGATCATCAGAAGTTTGCAGAATCTAAACAAACACAGGGGACAAATTAGAGGAAATGGAAAACCGCCATTGCTTAAACCTTCATTACAATTATTTTCCACTTATCTCCTAACCAAAATAGCAATCGAAGAAAGAGCTCCATTTTCCAGTCTAACCTTCTCCCAAACCAACCAGACAGGCAGTCAAGCAAACAAACATTACAAAAGCAGGACCTGAAATCGAACAAGCCAAATAAAACATTTCATTACCAGCAGTATCCTGCTTGTTCTTGACTCTAACATGTCCCTTGATCCCCTGCTTATCTTTACCGAGCCCCTCTCCTTCTTCCCATCCCTGCACACGAACAAATCGTCAAGAACCGTAAGAACCAAACCCTAACCCTTCTTGAATACTGAAAAGACAAATCACAGACGGGTAGAGTCGGCGGCTATGAAAGCAGCAGCAGTACCATTTGTTTCATGAGCCGGAAGGCGGCGGACTTTCGGGCTACGCCGACGTAGTTGAGAGGGGCTTCGGGAGCGGCCATTTTTTTCTTTTACTCTCCCGCGGTATCCTTCTTCAGCTGCGTGCGGCGGCCGAGACTGTCAGCCGACGGTTGGGAAGGAGCGGAAGAGGAGAAATTTGACAGGGAGAACGAGAGAAGGAAACCTAGGGCGAATGAAGAGGAAAAAAGGAGCAAATCAGGTGTGTTATGAACGTCTTGAGCTTGGTGGAGATGCTCTCTTTAACGGTCGGGATTCAATGGATCGCGGTTTCGATTGGGTTGTCCGTTGTTGTGGGTCTGGGCCCCGTTGACCCGACTTCTTCAACCTAACCAAACGACGCCGTGGCAGGTCCTCAGAAATGAAGGCGGATTATAGTCCGTCCGTCCAACCAACCTTGGCTCTTTGTTTCCCTATTTACTTTTGAGCTGAGCATTCTTCATTCTTTCGGAGAAAGACTCGTCCTTTATTTACGAGCCGCGCCTTGTCATGCAAAAATTCTGCAAAACTGCCAACCAAAACCAGACCCAATTTCTAGAATCCATCGGCCCATTGTCTTCTCCTTCTTCATCGCCTGCCTTGTCTCTCTTTCTCTCTCTCTAGATTTGGGCAACCAGCGAAGCGAATCCAGCATTCCATGGGGTCTATGCTTGGCGACTTGCCTTCTTTTGACCCACATAACTTCAGCCAACTTCGGCCATCCGATCCTTCGACTCCATCCGTAAGCGCACACTCTCTTCGCCCCAGACAGTCACAGCTCCATGTTACTATCTTTGATTTCACTGGAATTGCGTCTGTAGAAGTTTTGATTCCTCTAATGAGTAGATTCACTTGTGTTTGGCTTTTGTTTTGCTGATCTGCTGGAATGCAGCCCCAGTGGTAGAGATGAACCTTATGCATGTGCTAAGAACTGAAGCTAGTTTATGGTGTTCTTGGTCCAATTTCAGATTTCAGTGGGAAGCTTGTGTGTGTGCATCTGCGTGATAATTTTTGTCCTTTTTTTCTGACAACAATCTTGTTTCGCGTTTGTTGAGGTGTTAGGGTCTAATGTGCGGTTAGGTTTTCGAGTGCAGGTTCTTAAAAGAACTGCTTGGAAGAAGAAAACTGTGGCTGATCGAGAATGTACTATTGTTTGTTCTGCTACTCTCACCTTGGTATCTATGTATAGGAGGCATGAGTTACTATTAACCCAATCCAGGGTTTCCTTGCTTGCAATTGGGTTGGGGGGGTTAGTACTTCGGATGGAAAGTATTAGTGTATCTCAAAATTCTTGAGAATTTCATTCAGATTCTGATAGGACAAATAGATGTAGGCAAACAGTTCATTGAGATGTGAGAGCGCTGAATGTATGAGATCAATAAGCAGGATCCTAAAGCAATGCAATCTGTTCAAATATAGTGTCGAGCCCACTTAGTTCACTAGGCTGAGTTGAGTTTATAGAACAATGTCCTAGCTGAGAATCCAGCTGTTGGTAAGAAAAAGAAATTTAGTTGAAATAGAAAACGAACTTGGACATGTGGAGCTCACTTGGTTGCCTATTTAGCATATCTTCTCTCTATCACCACTAGGCATGCGCTTTCTCTCTTCTCTTGTAACTGTCTATTACATTTATCAAGTGTTGCCCTTGGTTGTGATTGAACCACAATTTTTATGGAGGAACATTTAATTATAGTGCATGGCACTTCAATTGAACTATCACGTGCCAATTTTTTGTCGATAGCACGTTACAGATGCTTTTTTCTGACATATCCAGTGTATTGGTTGTCGAATGTGTTAGTTGAAGTGTTGAACCGCTGTCTGTCTCATTTGTAGGCTTGACATGGATTCAGCACTATGTAAAATTCGGACTAGGGTACATATGAAAAGCTTGTCTCCTTATCCTGCTCAGGGTACATGGTAGAATAGACATGTGAATAGATTGCTGAGAAGTCATTGTATGCATGTTATTGTGGATTATTTCATGGGAGTTGAGACTGGATAGTGCTGGGGATGACTTTACTTGTGATGAATTGGCACCTCTAGGTTTGAGATGATTAAAAATTTATGACACATTTGTATTTCTTAATATTAATAATTCAACATTCAATAGCACAGGGTTAGCCTATTTGGAATTTCTTTACCAACCAATAATTCTGATTTAAATGCTGTATTGCCCACAGAATGTGCCTATCCGGAAGTTGACCGGTTTACTCATATTTATGACAGATTTTTTTCCTGATCCATTTGCAGAAAATGACTCCAGCAACCTATCATCCTACCCACGGACGGACTCTTCCACCACCAGATCAAGGTACTGAACTTGCCTATTATTTTTGTTTTCTCTCTAGGGTAGTATCCACTTTTGCATAAAGAACATGACCTTTCAGCACTTGACTGCTCAAGTAACATGCGATGCATAGCAAGTACTTCATCTTACCGATCTACCAATTTCGTCATCGGTTATAACTTTTTCAGACTGCATTTATAGGCCTCGCATTTGACATTTCAGGAAGCAGGATGCATGGAACATTCTTGTTAAAAGGCATATAGGAAAGTGATAAAGGAAGAAATATACTTTTGTCAGATTTCTCAAAGCAACTCCTTACGTCGATTAGGTAGACAAAACCCTGAGACAGAATTTCCTCATTAACGTATACCATCATGTGCAACAGATCTTTTTTCTCTCTGTCAGATGGAGTTAGGACTCAGGTGCTAGTATATCAGAGGATGTTATCCTATTTGTCAGGATAAATCTTACTAAAGTTATATGTCTGAATGTTGGGTTATAGTCATTCGATTATATTAGAGAATTTACAAGTCCAACACGGTTGAAGTTACTTCCTTTCGCTGTTCTCTTTGATCTGCATGCATTTTCCCAGTATTACCTGTTTCTGGGATTCTGGACTAGCCAGTAGGTTTAGGTTAGAAAGAGTTTGTACAACCAAGGCAGTTACAAAAACCAAGCTCGATTTAGCTCAACCTATATAGAAAAATACTTGTCTGCTGTCATAAGTGGAACTCGATATCTTCTTACCAGCTTCCTCGACTATCTTGCTTGCAGTCATAACCACTGAAACTAAGAACATACTTCTGAGAAACTTCTACCAAAGAGCAGAAGAGAAGGTTGGTCATATTATTCACTAACTTGCCGTTCTTCGACTTTTTCTTGCACAAATACATTCTTTCAAACTGCCTCTATCATGCAGAGCTTCTTATTTCGTTGCTCACTTTCTACTTGCTTGCTACCCTTCTCTTTCCAGATGAGACCGAAGCGAGCTGCCCCTGAGAGCCTTATACCAGAACACAGCTGCAAGCAGCCAAGGCCTTCTACCTCCAACTAAAGTTTGTCTCAGTTTTTAAAGATGTACATACTAGAGAGTCTAATCATAGTGCCGAAAATGTATGGAAGTTTGTTTGCTGAGAGGACTCCCGCAGAATGTCAGCTCTGGGCAGTTGGAACTGTTGTGCTGTATACGCGTAGATCTGTATACAAAGTTACAAACAAACACTTTGCTGCTGATGGCATGCGTTAATGTCTCTCTTCCTGTCTGTTCTTCGACTGAAAATCATAGGGTAGATTGACTAAAATCATAGTTTAGTTTGCATTTTGGTCTGTTGATTCAGCAGCTGGATTAAGAAACTGAGAGCAGAGATAGAGACCCCAATCTTTCTTTCTTCAGGAAGTTTTATCTATGATCTCATATTCTTTGATCAGACGGATGCCTGGTTGATTTGGTACTTATGACATTAAGGGACTGACAAATGAATAAAATGGAGAGTTTTGAGTCTTCTGATGCACACACCGCAGCATATTGAACAGGCGAGGGAATATCCTCTTTTTTAAGTCCAATTTGAAAAGCCAGTCCATAACAAACAAATGGATTGTGTTTGTATGATCTACAATTTTCTTAGGCATTTGTAAATATTTGACAATCTTAGAATTTTTTACAATCCTTTCTGAAAATGTATGTAATCCAAAGGTTGGTACAATGTGTAATTTCATGTGATGTAATTGCATTGTCCGAACTCCGAATACACTTTTTTCTATAAGTTGGAATGAGAATGAATATAAGGTGGAATGAAAATGATTTGAACTCACCATGCCCAAAAACTATAATACAATTCTCGATTTGAATTTGATTATACAAAATTATTCAAAAAGTTGTGAAGTTTGTTACATTTCATTTAGCTGCCAAAACTAGTCATCCAACAAGCGATAAAAAAAACACAATGTCACATTTCATTCTCGTATTTCGCTCTGCAAACTACATTTGACATTTTTTTCTTTTTCTGAGTGATATCAACAGAAGACAAGAGTTATTCAACAAATCTACCCAGGACCCTTAAAATATAATTTAATGAAGCCACCCCAAAAAATCGAGATTCTAGCTCTAAACGAGACAAAAGCAGTGTTTTACGCGCCACTCTATGGGCAGCACTGTTGGCAATTCTAGGAACCATCCTAAACTCTATACAAATGGATAAAGAGCTAAGGATCTGACGACACTCTCGCAACAACGAACCACCAATCGAGTCTTCTATAATACCTTGCCGGATCTACTTGACGACCACTTCGGAAACTACATTTGGCACATAAGAAATTACTAGATTTCAATCTCAAGGCCAAATAAGCGAGGCGATGGCGCTGCGCTGACAATTTTGACTTGGGAGTCAAGGCCCAATAAGGCGGCCCGCACACCCTGTTCCTTTGTTCTATATTTTATCGTAATCCTTGCTCCCTGATCTTTTTTTTAAAGAGAACACATTAGAAGAAAATACTTGATGATAATCTTTTTTTGCCCACCAACCACACCTTGTAAATCAGTCATTAAGATTTAAGACCTGTTTTTCTAATGACAAAATGACTAAACAACAGTTTAATCTGCCCTCAATTCACTAAAATTTAAAATAAACAAATATAAGAAGTTTTACTACGACGCCATTCCTCAGCGATTAGCCGAACAGGACGAAACTCCACATTACCAGAATCCAACCTTCTAAATATGCCGCCCACGCCATGATCCTTTTCCCGTATTATAAATTGCTGTCCAGACAAAAAAAGACGCACAATATATAGATTGAAAATTGATACGGCTCACTTGTTGGTAGCTGCTGTTCGTTTCGTTGTCTGCAACCAACAGCCGAGCAAATCAATTTCCCCAATGGCCATGGCCGCGGCCACCAATTTCTGCGCATCTTCTTCAATCTCCTCCACTAAGAAAACAACTCCTCCTTCGTTACAGGGTCGGACTTGCTCCCTGCCTTCGACGCATCATCATTTTCTCTCTGCCGGCCGGAGACCAGCCAGACTTTCCGTGACGGCGACAGCTGCGCCGCCCAGCGCAGTTCAACAGGTCGATGGGGCTACAACCTCCAGCAAAGCTTCCAAGGCTCTGCCTTTTAGAGTGGGTCATGGGTTCGATCTCCACCGGCTGGAGCCTGGCTACCCTTTGATCATCGGCGGGATTAACATTCCTCACGAGAGAGGCTGTGAGGCTCACTCCGACGGTAAATGAGATTTATTATCTGTTTTCATCTACTTGAGGAACTCCCAGGTTTTTAATTGGATAGGAGATTCAGCTTCAAGTGATTGAAGTGGTTCGTGGGAAGTTTGAGGATTGGGGATTGGTCTTGGCTCTGTGTGTTTGAGCAAAGTTTTTAGAACCGTAGTTGGAATTCAGAACCAAATTTTGTTTCCTATCGTTTTGTTGCAGGAGATGTATTGCTGCACTGCGTTGTGGATGCGATATTGGGAGCACTGAGTCTGCCTGATATTGGGCAGATATTCCCTGATAATGATCCTAAGTGGAAGGGAGCTGCTTCTTCTGTTTTCATCAAAGAAGCTGTGAGTCTTTCCGATTCTTGATTTTGGTTAATCGTGGATTTCTTCATGGCTCAAAATATGCATTGATTAGTCACCTTATCTGGGTTTCATCACACTACATCCATGGTTAGGGAACTAGTAATAGATCAGTATACGTTGTCTGAGAATCTAGGTGTTTGAGGAAAACGTAAGATTGATGCTTTGCGAATGATTGTTCTGATCATAACCTGTTTGAGATACTTGCTACTTGCTAATGGATAACAGAATGAGCTAAAATTTGTAAATCAGGGACACATCTTTTGGACTTTTTAACACTACTATTTTCCCTTCAACTGCTTATTAACTGTTATCTTGTGACTAGTGAGGGAGGCGATTCAGTGTCATTTCAGCTGCTGCTCTAACGTTGCTCTTAATTTTTAGTCAAATCTGTTTGTGCTGTAACATGTAGTAGCCAAGTTAGAGAAGATGAGGCTTTATCTTCGTGGCCTTAAAAGTTGTTGGATTTCTATGTTGTTATGATATGCTGCAACCACAGCTTGAAAGATTTTGATTGACTTAAGAGTTCTTGAAGTTAGAATGAGCGACAGAGATTCATAAACCCATGGCCTGTTGTTGAATTGTCGTCTGTTTTGTCACAGTAGATATATGTGCTCCTGCGTCCCCTTCACGATGCGCTTTCCATGTGTTTTTAAGAGCTACAAAGCTAAATTCGAGACACATATCATCATATCCTGACTGTGTATCTGACATTAAATAGTCTTCGAGTTTTCTTGGCAATCAGGCATTTTTGTGCATTTTTCGTTATACTTCATAATCATCACAGAACTTCTGATTAGAATGACATTATAGTTACATAAATCAAGTTAGGGAAACATTATTATCCATCTCAAGTGAAGTCTTGTTGGGTTGGTTTGCAAACGTTTGAAGTCAGATATGGAGGCTAATTTGGTGGCTGCTTCACATATTTGCTATGCATCATGGTTTTAGCTGTTGTGTGAGGCATACTAGGCACAGATAGATCCATATTACAAAAGAAAGCCTTACCCCTCCATTTCGTGCCTCTATCTCAGGTGAGACTGATGCACGAGGCCGGTTATGAGATTGGAAACTTGGATGCCACCTTGATCCTTCAACGACCGAAACTTAGCCCGTTCAAAGAAGCCATCAGGGCCAACTTGTGTGAACTGCTAGGAGCAGACCCAGCTGCTGTCAACTTGAAGGCCAAAACCCACGAGAAGGTCGACAGTCTGGGGGAGAACAGAAGTATTGCAGCCCATACCGTCGTTCTCCTAATGAAGAAGTGATGTTGCCAAACTCCACTACAGCTGCCGATCCCTAAAACATGGAAATTGTTGTACTTCTTCTTTAGCATGTTGTAAGCTTTGACAAACAATTCCTTCTAGCAGTCGAATCAATAATCTCTTTTACGTTCATAGTTGTCTTGTAAGATCTTTTTTTAAGATTATAGAGTATAAGAGGAGCATTGTAGCTTCCTTTGCAAAAGATTCTACTCGAAATCGAGTTTCCAGTGTATTTCGAAACTTCTTCCTGAGGTGACACAGAAAAACCTTCTTCCTGAAAGTAATATGAGAAATCTTTCTAAACCTGTGGCGTTTCGTATGAGCAAGACTGAAGTTTTTCTCAATCGACTGGACTGGTTCTATGGAATGCTTGATCTTCGAGCTCCATACTCGAAATCGACTGCCCCACAAACTCAGCATCCGTGGTACGAGCTGGCCTGCACGTTGGCCAATTGAGTTAGATCCAATTAGGCTCAAGGCCCAAAAGGATTATATAGAGATCTAGCGACCGAGCACAGCGTTACCCTTTTGCGTAAGGCACAAGCCTTCCATTTATCTTTTGGCCCAACCAAAATTTTCTCGTAATCTTACGAAAAGCCCACTTAGATCGGAAAACAAAATTTAATATTTGGAAACCCTCGGTAGTTCTTTTTCCCCATAGATAATCCATAAGACTTATTCAATACAGGAGATTTACGGTAGGTACTACATAGTGACCAAATTCCATAGTCCATAACTGTTTGTGCCTGGGAAGTACCAGGCGGTTATGTGAGACTCCACGACCTCTGGCGGCTTGACAGGTGGGAGGCGGTCTTCAAAGACCTGCACAAAAGGTCCTCAGGGGTTGCCTGGGACCTCCTCCGAAGCTTAAGTTAGAGAGAGAAGGGAATGGGTAAATGTATGTAGAGAGAGAATTCGGTTGATCGAAGTTACCATAAATGCTGCCCCTTTGGGGCTATTTATACTAGCTTGTCCTTAGAACCAAGACATTTAATGCTGTGTCAGGCGGTCTAGGACGCCTTTGACTTTATTACCTGCTTTGTCAGTACGAATGTCAGGCTTCGTCTGACAGCATGATTTTAGCCCATTTGTCGGGCGGTTTCCCGACGTATGGATGACGTATATGTCGGGCGGTCTCCATGTTGGATATGGTCAACCTGACCTAGTCTTGACCCGTCTTCGTGGGCTTTCATAACCATGGGCTTCAGGCCCACGTATGCCAATACTAGGCCCAACATTTGCCCCTTAGTCGTGAGAAGCTTTGGGTTATCGCGGCTACCCTTTCAACCCTCTGAAGCGGTTCCGTAACTTGCGGCCCCTGGTTATGGTTACTCGTTTGCCCCTTGTCGCGATAAGCTGGAGCGGGTACGACTATTGGGGCGGTTGAGACGCACGTCGCTTTGCCCCTTGCACTGGCGTTGCCACGTGTCGCGCCTCGGGAGCGGTGCGTTGTCAGAGGCAACCCGAACGTCAGTTCTGACACCTTGGGCTTCGGACCTTACTATAAGTGTCGCGGAGACCCCTTTTCGCTGCCATTGTCGTTCTATTTGCAAGAAAATCTTGTCTTCTTCTTCTCTCCTCCTTTGTGACGTAATTCCGAGCACTGTTTCCCGGCGAGCTCCACTATAAAGTCGACTCTCTTTCCCCGGTAAGTTTTTGTGCATGGTTTGGTCGCGGTGACCTTTTTTCTACTCTTTCTGCTCTTTGCCCATTATCGGGACGCCGCTCTCTTCCGTGCGTCGGGTCTCGTTTGGATTGTTCGTGTTGTTGCAGATGTCGGTTGAAGGTCGAGATTTGCTGGTCGGGGAGGCGAGCCGAGGGGTACCCGCCGTCGACGCTCACGATGGGGAGCCTTTCGCGGCGGTTCACCTGCCCTCCGCCGCCGTGTCGGGGACTGTGCCCCCCGCCTCATCTGTACCTGAGGGAGAACTCCCTCGTCCTACCACGGGCTCTTCTCCCGTTGCTCCGGGCAAGAAAGCAGCGGCCACTTCTGGGAGTGCGGTTCCTCCTACGCAAGGTACGATTTGTTCTCCTCCCGATCGAAGCGTTTCCGAGTGTGTGTTTGACCTGTCTAGTCTGGACTTGTACTTCGGGAGCGGTTCGGAATTAGACGATTGTATTTTTGGGGGATCCTTGGGATTAGATAACTTTTTTGCTAACACGCGACCTGTACCAGCTGGGGTTGTCGCAACTTCTTCTGCGGTTGGGGATAACTTAGGGGAGTTTGGGGCGATAGAATTAGATAGTGATTCCTCGGGTGGAGAGGAGACGGTTAGTAGTGATGGGCTGCGATCGGAGGCGGTTGCCAGTACCTCCTCGTCTTTGGAGGTGGTAGATTCCGAAGGAGAGGAAGTGTCATGGTTGGCGATTGAGGATGCCACGTACACGATTCTGCGCCATGAATACATGTGGGAAAGCCGACCTATTCCTGACGGGGTGCTGGAGCGCGGTCCGAAGCACGTGGCGGCCTTGAGACCCGCTCAAGTTCTTCATCGCTTGAATGCGTTGGGACTTCCTTCAGAGTGGGAATATGCTGCTCCCACGAAAGAGTGCCGGTCGGGGTCGTGTCCCGAAGGCTGGATTCCTATATTCGTGGAGCATGTGAAACTGGGGTTGCGGTTTCCTCTAGAACCGATATTGACTCAAACCCTAAACTGGTTAGGATGCACCCTTGGCCGCCTCTCTCCTTCGATCATCTTTCATTCTGTCATGTATCGGTACGCGTGCAACCGCTTGAAGGAGACGCCCTCATTCGATGCGTTCCGGCTACTGTATAAGGTGCGGGATACGGCTAACTGTTGGTCAATAGGGAGGCGGGACCGCACTGTTGGCTTGGTGTCTGGGTCGCCTAAGCTAGACTCCCCTTGGTATCGGGAGTACTTCTTTGCCCGACCCACAGGGCAATGGTACTCTGGAGGGACCGTACCACCGACTGGATATGCGAATGGATCAAAGGAGTCGTGGTGTTCATCCGCTCGGTTTACTACCTCCGTAAAGGATCATCTGGACCGCCTCGTCGAAGGCTTTCATTTGCGTGTATTTCCCAGCGGTTCGGGGAGTGCTTACGAGCATGTTCGTGCTTTTTATGGTTAGTAGCGTACGTCCTTTGTTGTATTTTTTTCCATATGCTCATATGCGTTCACTTATGCTTTTCCTTTGCAGGACTGAGAGCTTTGGCGGATGCGGTTCGCCCAAAGAAGAGGAGAGTGGTTGTCAAGGGGGCCGATCCTCGGGGAGCGGGTCCATCAGAGGCTCCATCAGCTGCGGTTAAGCCAGTTCCGGCTTCACCTGGGGCGGCCACCAGAACTGCGAGTAAAAGGGTGTTGGAGTCCTCCTTTCCCGCTGGCACTCCCAAGCGGTCGAGGACCGGTTCGCCCCGCTCTAAGGCAGGCGAAAACCGTGGTAAAGGGGTGGCTCCTTCGATGAAGCTGAGTTAGATCGATCTCCCTCCCCAAGCGGCCACCGATGGTGAAGCGGCTGAGCTCGCTTTTCATACCATCTGCGACCAACTCGTGATGCCCCCTGAGTACACAGCCTCTTCCAGCGGTGACAGCAAGCGGCTTGCTGGAACTGCGACTCAGTTTTTCTTTGCGGTGAGTTTGACTTGCTTTTGACCTTACGATTGATTGGAGCGGTCTGGTTCATGCCCCTTGGTTTTCCTGTTTCAGGCTCAAATTGGTTTTTCCCAAATTCTGATGAACAATGACCGCTTGTCCAAAACCGTGGAAGACCAAGCTGTGGAGATAGCGAAGCTGAAGAAGAGCTCGAGTGAAGGCCGAGAGGCACTGATGGGGGAGATCCGTCCGTTGGTGGAGCGGGAGTTCGAAGAGCGGTTGGCTCGCAAGGAGAAAGACCTAGCTGCGGAAAGGGAAGCGGTCAAGAAGGCGCAGTTGGAGCGGGCCCAGCTGCAGGACCGTGTTAAGAAGTCAAGTGAGATGGAGAAGTTGTTGCTGGAAGAACAAGATTCTCTTCGTAAAGAGATAGAGTCCCTGAAGCTTGAAAGGAAGAACCATCAGGCAGAGTTGGAAGCGGTTCGTGCTGAAGCGGGTCCAGAGTACTTGAAGTCTGCGGAATTTGAGGCCATTGACAATGAGAAGTACAAGACCATCGTGGGGAATGCGGTCGCCGCTATTCGCCATTGGTTTCGCGAGGATCAACCCGCAGCGGTTTGGAGTACCGACGAGATCTGGGATGCGATCGGGGCGTGGTCTGAGGCAGACGTGAACTCCGAGAAGGAAGATGAGGCGAGAGAAGGCGGTTCTCCCGATGGGGATGCCGAAGATGATGGCAACTCCCACAACCATTGAATGGTTGTCTTTTATCTATCTTAATGCTTCTCTGTTTGATGTTAAGACAATGGATGATGAATATTTGTTTTGGCGTTCTTCCGTTGGGGAAAGGGCGCCTTTGGTTATTGCTTTATTTTTCAACTTTGGCTTAGTTGACCGTCGTATGACGACGTTTATTCCTCGTTGGCTGGTCGTTTGGTTGTTTTCATTGTCGCAATGTCTATCTTTAGCTTGTTGGGCGGTTCTGGGACCGTCCTTGTATACTTTGATTCAAGTGATCGAACATATGTGCTCAAGTCGTGGAACTTTTTGTGAGGAAGAGTAAAGAAAAACGACGCAAACTTCAGTGTATTCCATGGGCAAAAGGGGGTTGCTGTGTCAGCCAACCATACACTGTTACAAAGGCGGGTGTGTACCCAGGCCTATCAAAATGCTATTGTGATACATAGAATTACCTACGCCGCGGCCGAGTAGTACCTCCGTAGGTGCATACCGTTCCAAGTTTTTGAGACGGGGTCGCCTTCCATGGTAGCCAGCCGAAAGGTACTTGGACCTGTTTTTTCGCCAATGAGGAACGGTCCTTCCCAAGAGGCGGCTAGCTTTCCGTGCTCCTCCCTGCGCTGAAAGTCCCGTTTGAGGACCATGTCTCCCTCCTCGAGGGGGCGCGGTTTGACCTTCTTGTTGTAAGAGGCGGCCACCTTTGTCTTCTCGCTGAGAATGCGTTCTAAGGCCGTGTCTCTCCTTGACTCTATCATGTCCAGCTGATCCAGCAACTTTCTGTGGTTGATATCTTCGTCGTAGGCTTGGACACGCAGAGAAGGCAAGTTCAGCTCTTCTGGGGCAACCGCTTCAGACCCATAGGTGAGCGCAAAGGGTGTTTCCCCTGTTGCCGTCTTGAAGGTCGTGCGATGAGCCCACAGGACATGAGGTAGCTCGGTTGTCCAAGCTCCTTTGGCGTCCCCTAGACGTTTCTTCAGTCCTTGCAGGATGAGCTTGTTGGTTGCCTCGGCTTGACCGTTTGTCTGGGGGTATGCCATCGACGCCATGGTACA